CCCCCCCCACTAAATCACATTTTGCAAAAAAGTCCCTTTTTCCTAAATTTATACAAACAAACAAACAAACAAACAAACAAACAAGGGAAGAATACCAAATAGATAAACGAAAAGTAAGTTTTATAGGCTTTATCTTTTGTCCTTCTTTAACAAAATCGACTTAAATTGTTACGTTTATCTAACACTAAGTAATGATAAATTATTGTTAATACTTTTGTGTTTTTGTGCGTGTTTTCCTTCTTTTATTTCAAATACAAGTATAGCTAACATAAATTTTAGAGCAAATTTGGATGCTCTGAGTGCAGGAAATAACATTTCCGGGCTTCAAATTGCAAAATTGTTCGGGGGGAGTATTCGCCAAGACCCTCCTATTCATGCGTGGTGTATGTTGGCCGCGCACGTAGGGTCATGTCGGTCATGGCTATCCTGGCCCCCTCTAATATATTATATCACAGAAAGATCCCTTTTCAAAAAATGCCCCCCCCCCAGGAAAATTCTTAAAAAACGCCCTGGTCAATACATTAAATCCTCACCCACCCACCAAACACTAGTTATTTGGGGGTTAATAACAGAATATTCCATACAGAAAATACTTTTTTACTCAACAAACTTTACATCGAATCTCAATACCCTCCATGATAAACATTAATATTAATATTAATTAAAATTCACAATTTTAATGTAACGTAATTAGCTTTGGAAGTACGCAATTATTGTCGCATTAAAGAGGATACCCCGAGAGAGAAGATACCCTGGTTTCGGTGTACGTGTACGGGTAGCATGATTTTGGTTAGCAATATTTTCGTCGATGTCTGTCCCTTTACTCGTAATTAAGGTGCCCATTTTTCGCATTATATCATTGTCTATTGCAAGAAAACAGAAAAAGTATGATCGAATTACAGACATCAGTAAAACAAGATGACACTATTCGTACCCGTACACCGAAACCGGGGTATATTAACCTCTCTCTTTAATTATCATTAACTTTCACTCGTTTTTTAAATTAACACAGCATTTGGTTATATTACAAACGATAATGTAAAAATCCCGACACCCAAAATGAAATTATGCTTTTTCAAATTACATTTTCCAAGCCTAGTTTGTAAGTTCTTTTAATTCCTTAACATATGTCTTTGATTTCCTCTCAACAAGCTGATACTTCAGATAGTTTCGGCGATGCTTCGTCCGCTTTTTTGTCTTCTTTTTCTGTTTTTTATTTTTGGTGGCTTTTACCAATGGTATACTATTCTCTTCTTCTTTTCTTCTCCCTTCGCTTCTTTGCTTTGCACTCGTAAACGTCCCACCTTCCGCCGATTGTCTGTTAGCGGTTGGAGTGTTCTGGGGTGACTTTCGCACTTTTTTGGTTTTTGCCGATGAGGAGAAATTGTCGGTTTCGTGGATGACTTTTCTTTTCCTGCTACGAGTCAGCGATTCTGAAGAGGATTCACTCACTGAAATGCTTTCCGACGAAGAGTCTTCGCTTGTCCAGTCAAGTTCTCTTAAGATATCGCTTCTTGGGGTATCATTTGTGTCTTCTTTCTCCGTTGTAAATTCTTGTAGCAAGTATCTTTTCATTGCCTTTACATCGCCCTTACTTTGAAATTCTTGACCAGTTTCGTTGGAGACTTCGATTATTCTTGAGTAGGCATTTGGATTGCGCAGAAGAGAGCGTGCTACGACTTGATTTGCTGCTATGCAAAACATTGCATTTGCTGCTTGAAATAAATTATCAATTGTAGCATCAAACTCCTCGTCATTGTCGACAGTGCTTCTTAGGACGGCTTTGGCGTCATCGGTAGTTGGCGATGAGTTGCTCTTTCGATTCAGGTTTCTCAGCTCGTTTGCTAACGGATTAAACTTGGCCTCCAGTTTTTTCACCACTTTTTTGCTAATCACCGTTTTCTTGAACTCGTTTAGTACAGCCATATTTGATGAAATTGCTTCCGAATATTCTGACAAAGCAATTTCTGGCCGGGACAACCATTCACAACTGAACGGCTTCAAATATCTGAGTACATCTGGAGCTTGTGGTGGCTGTTGCGATTGCTGGTAAGGCGTAGCAAAACTGCGCACAAACTGGTTAAAAAAGTTCACAGCCGTGCGTTTTCTCATTTTCAAATGCTATAAAATAAAAAGAAATGGAGAGAGTTACTACTACCATACTTTGTAAATATCGCTTTCTATCAGCCTTTCTATTCGAGCTTCATTGACGAACGATCACAATCGCGGGGGAATAACTTGGGAAAACTTTGTTTTTATTACCAAGTATATTTTGTACAAATTACACCATTTTGGTAGTTCTATGTACGCATCACCTGGTACAAGTGGACTGTCAAGCCAGACAACACATTTTACGACTGTCTGACCTTGTGCTAAACTTGTATTTATATCATCATTTTCCTGTTTATAAGTGAAACAGGATACACAATACACATGAACAAGCGGTTGATTTTGCAAACGAACAAAGCAGCTCCAACAATTCCAGCATTTCGCCGTTTAAAAAGGACAGTGACTTGTCAATATTTTTTGGATATAGGTCTTAAAATTTAAATGCAAAAACATCCGTTGGGTGAATAATTTGTATAATATTGAGATTGCCAATTTTCCCTAAACACGTCACACCCTCATAAATTTGTCAAAAGTTTTTATTAGATTTCTGGAGACGGTATATCAAAAATGCAGCTTCACGATTTGTCCATATCACATACGGTATGTCCACCGAAAATGCTCCATCCGAATATGCTCTATCCTCGTTCATGCACGGCCGCCTGCGTTCCCGAAAGCCGCATAGAGATTATGAAAAGATAAGAGTGGGCATTGTAGGAAAAGTTCAGGCAAACGCAAGGGACAAACTGAAGCTGGAGGGAAATTTGAGTTATTCCCAGATGTAAAACCAAGAAATTTTTACACCTTTATTACTTTTTCACCTTTTCGGTACAATTCAAGTATTCAATCCTTGTTTTATCAACTTTACATTTATTTGTGGCGAAAAATTGAGGAATTTCCGTTTTATATCGTGGAAAAAGATAAAAATTTGGACGCACCGCGAAGTCAAGAAGAAAACAACGCTCCTCAACGTCGAAAAAAAAAGCGCTTTAAAACATTTCTACCGTTCCAAAACTTGTTTTGTATCAAAGTCCAGGTATTCTGTCAATTTTGAGCTTTTAGTTCTTGCTCGAACTGGACGAAATCGATGTTTCAAAGTTGTATTATTTTCGCAATTTCCGGCACCTCCTAAACATCGCGGCTTCGCATCCGGGATTGAGAATTTACATTTTGGCAACGAGATTTTAGCCAAACAGAGAGCGGTATTTACCCCCATCAGGAAGCTTCAATTTGTCCCTCGATTATTCCCGCAATATCCATGCTCTCTATTATCTCTGGAGGCCCTTGGGAAAACCAAACCCAAACTTGTAGTTCGCTGAATGTAAAAGTTATACTCTGCGGTCAATAAAAATGCGAACTCGGCTTATTTTTTTTTGCAAGGAGTGGAAGGCTTGTATCGCTACAATTTACGATTAATTTTTACTTTCATTTATTATATACATGACAAAATTACTGCAATCTGATTGGTTAAGAGGAATGCAATTATTTCATGTATTATATTCATTTTGAAATCAGTGGTGTTTCCTGCAATCCGATTGGTTCACACGAGTGCGATTTCAGCACGAATCGCACTCCTAGCAGTGCGATTCGTGCTGAAATCGCACCTCCTTTCAACCAATCACATTAGAGTGCTGACTTCAGCCAACCAATTTTAAGAAACATGTGATATGGCAGATGAGCAAAAACAACAAATTTACATATGTCATGATTACTCTTGATTGCCTAAGCAATTTTTTGCAAATAAAAACATAAAATATGGATAGCTACAGTAAACTATCAAAGAATTGCAAAGAATTTTGATTTTTTTTAAATTTTACAAATAATACCAGGCAAATTAAGAACATAATCTTCTGTCAAACATGGTCAAAATGCCAACAAAAGCGAATTTAAAGCGCCAGGCAAAACAATGTAGATTCGCATATCGTCAAAGTTTGTAAATTTATAATACGTAAGTAAATTTTATGCATAAAGAAACCGCTAAAGAAGCTGTTTTAAATCCCAAGAGCAGAAAATCGTGCGCTTTACAAAGATATTTTAATTTCTTAATAAGTCAATATTTAATATATGCTGCACCCTTGTCAATTGCAGGGTGAGTAAAAAGAACTGATACCTTCGCGGCTAATTTGAATAACTGCAAAGGTGTCAGTTTTTTTTTATTCACCCCGTATTTTACGCATCTTTGCGTTCAGTTTAGTGCTAGGGCATTCAAATTCTAACAATACGTTACTGCTGCCGAGCGCTAGCGAGGCAGCACACTATTCTTGACGTCCTAGCGTTTTCCCGCAGTGGTTCCAGAGTCCACTCGACCCAGTCTTTCGCGCCATCTATGTATTGTCGAGATCTCGACTTGTGTCTGTCTGTCTGTCTGTCTGTCTGTCTGTCTGTCTGTCTGTCTGTCTGTCTGTCTGTCTGTCTGTCCATTTTTTCGGGCGGCATAATTAAAAGCTTCAAGTGCGTTCGTAAAATGAGGGGGGTCGTCGAAGAACAAATTTGGTATGCGTACGCATTTCCATGTGCTCTCAATCTCAAGACTTTTTTAAACCGAATGCAAGCGAAAGACATTTTTCTGAAAATAAACCGGTAAGTATGGCTTTATTTCTTTCTTCAAATATACATCAAGGTGATGATCTTTTTAGTGTTCATTCTTGAGGCAAGCAATGTGCTTTCATGACTTTATCGGCTATACTAGAAGTTACTATCGCAAGGAAAGTGCTGCCAACAAAGGCAAGGGAACATGCGCAATTTGCTGAATAAGGCCTGTTTATACGAATCCCGCTTAAACCGCTTTGCCAGGACGAGATATAAGGCGCGATGATTTTGTGAAAAAATTTATTTTCTAGAGATGGATTATAGTTAACTGTAAACGAAAGGTTGTTCAAAAAGCTATAAAAATCTTGAAATAGTCAAATACATGATCTTCTCTACAACATTTGAGTTCGGTTAGCCAGCATTTGAACTTTCGTTTAGCCTAGCCCTTATTTCAATACATCAAAATCATCCCATCTTCCATCATGTAAACAGTCCAGAGTATACCCGTTCACAGGTTAGTTGCTGGGCATGACCTAACTTGCGAACGGGCATACTCTGGGTACGAGATTGTTAATACGCCTGTTCAGGATGCAGGAAAAGACCGAAAAGTGCAGTTCGAATATCAAACACCTTGCACAAAGTCGAAGGTCAGCTAAATATTCTAATTCTACTTTCTTTGCATGGGGGATTTTATATGAATCCCTTCAATGCTTATAACTTCTTGCTTTTGTATGTATAATTATACTGTTAATGGTGAAGCTAGCCGTTATTAAACTAAACTCTTCATGTCCAATGATTCATTCAAATATTATCATTGTTGATATATATGGCAATATGACATTGTACAGTATTCAGTGGCAAGCTAGCCATGGCAACTGGTCATGCTATGCTAATAAACCTGCATCTTTTTGAATAATGCAAATCATTAAAAACTTGCATATCATGACTTGTTGCTACAATTTCATATACCTTACTTGTATTAAAATTTGCGCAGTTGCGCAGCAACTAAATAATTTTTTAGAATTTCACCAGATAGTATCCACAAATCAATCTGGATTTCGCACTCAACACTCCACAGAGACTGCACTCTTATATTCTGTAAATCAATGTCTTGTAAATATGGACCAGGGCCTTATTAATGGTCTACTGTTTCTTGATCTCAAAAAAGCATTTGACACTGTGGACCACAACATACTCATTTCAAAATTAGAGCTTTACGGAGGACGAGGAAAAGCATTACAATGGTTTATTTCATATCTGAGAGGGAGAAAGCAAGTTTGCAAAATTAATCACGAAATATCAGATACAGCTACAATTACTTGCGGAGTCCCTCAGGGTTCAAGTTTAGGACCACTGCTTTTCTTACTTTACATCAATGACTTACCAAATTGCTTAAGGTCTACAAAAGCATCAATGTTTGCAGATGACACTAATATATCCTGTGACGGAAAATTAGCAACTGACATTCAACAAAAATTAACTCAGACTTGAACAGTGTTCATAATTGGCTATTAGCTAACAAACTAACTTTAAGTGTTGAGAAAACAGAATATATGATTGTCGGTTCGAGACAAAGGCTTAATCAAATAAATTCAGATCCTGACATATTAATAGGAGATCATATGATAAAGAGAGTTTCTAACAAAAAATTCCTAGGAGTGGTTCTTGACGAACAACTTAATTGGCATAACCAAATAGATAATCAATGTGCAAAAATTTCAAAAAACATTGCACTTTTGAGAAGAGCAAAAAGTTTTCTGACAGAAAATGCCCTTATTACAATGTACAATTCACTAGTCCTACCACATTTCACTTACTGCTCAACAGTTTGGCACAACGGAAATATCACCCACACTGACAAATTAAGTAAATTACAAAAAAGAGCAGCACGTGTTATCACTAACTCAGGGTATGAAATAAGATCAACAGAGATCTTAAATAGATTGAATTGGGAGCCCATTGCAAATATCCTCGAACAACGTGAACAAACAATGACATTTAAGGCAATTAACAAAATGACACCAAAATATTTAACAGAAATGTTTACTATGTCCCAGAACGACAATTATGCATTGAGAAGTAACGAACGAAAACTTCACTTATCAAAACCAAACACTAACTTCCTTAAGAAAAGTTTTTCCTACCGCGCAGCAGTGTCATGGAATAAACTTCCAAACGAAATTCTCGAGGAACATGAGCATCTTTCATTGAATCAGTTCAAAAGGCTTATTAAAATTGCTAAGATAGCGAAATTTTCCCGAAATTTTATCGAATGTTTATTTGCATTGTAAGGTCGTTATGCATGTTATACTTCAATTTGAATTAATGTTAGTGTGTTATACTTTAGGTTTAGATTTAGTTTTATATCTTTTTAATAGTTTTAGACCACGGCCCTTTGAAAAACAGGCAACTGAAAGGCTACCGTGGATAAATATGTTTAAATAATAATAATAATAATAATAATAATAATAATAATAATAAAAAATTCGCGAATTTTAGTAATGTGCGAAATATAATCCGCGCGAAAAGCTTTGTGATGTAATATGAGACACCGGTTGTTAGTAATGCATTTCAGTCGATTTATTTAACCTGATTTAACGCATATCTACACATTTGACATATCATATGTTCTAAATAAAACATGTCTTCCTCCCGGACAATTTCAGTCGGGATATTCTCAGGTTCCACGTAGCATTCCGTTACGAATGCCTGCATTTTGCCACAGATACTCAAACAGAGTCGCCAAAGGTTGGCAACGATAATGTGTGAGCGCCGCATTGGAAGAGCCGCAACGAAAAGAGGATCCATTTGAACTGTAGCTAAATATATTTGTGTGTTTTGAGATATATTTGTGCGTTTGAAATATATTTGTGTGTTGCACTTGTGGGCCACCGTAGTTTTATACCATTTATGAACCTATAATATATGGGAATGCTAATAAGATTATTGTTATTGTATTAGGCAAATGAGAACCATACAATAAATGTTTTAGTTTTATTACATAATTTTGAAACCATTTTTGAGGCCACCTAATCGCTTTTTGATTAAGTTTTGATAAAAAATACTCGTTATAAATACGTTAATTGTTAATAGTTCTATTGAACAAACCAAAAAGAACGAACACGGAAAATTTCTTGCCCGAATTTAAAGATGCGCGAATATGAACAAGGTGCGCGAAATCAAATCGCGCATGAGTACGACGCGATTATTGTTTTAATGACACTTTCAAGGCTACCCCTACTGCAGAAAAACTGAACAATCTGCTGATGAGGAGACAAAATCTATGTTGACATTTTTGTCAGCTTTAGATGACCATTCATTTGAAATGATTAAGGTTGTAGAAAAAAACTCTGAGCAGGTGAATATATGAATGTGCTAGCCGGTATTATATTACATACAATGCTAACCAATGGACATATCTCAGATACTAAAAGTACATTTTGTCTCCTTGTATAAATATAAAGACGATCAGTGGGCTATTAGAACTGCAAATTCATGAAATCATATTGGTTTCAATACCTCTATATCGAACACTAAACAGCAAATCTAAATATAAATGCCTTCATGTATATCACCAGAAAGAAATAAATGGGAATTATTCAAAATATTGTCGATCCTTTGCATCGTATTAAACTGTATTTAATCCTGACAAGAATCATGCGAGCGCAATACAAAATGAGTAAAATCGAATCAAAATCGAATAAAAACAAAGAGTCGGCGAATGCTCGAGCTGACGACAATTTCCGAAAAATCTTGACATCCGACGGACTGACATGGATTGAGTATGTTTCCCCAATATAACTCAGCCGGGGACTGGGCACGAAAAAGCAAGAACGTCATTTTTAACAGCACGCAATATGCCTTTGACCGAGTGGTCAAAACAAACGTTTGGTAATGTCTTAGTAGAAGAAGACAGCATGTACTTAAAAGCTCTCAATAGTGGCTTATTAGTCCTACAGGATGGTGTAGAAGTTTTGTGTATAGATGACTTGCCAACAGTTGTTGTTTCATTTTGTAGGAACATGTCGGATGACTTTTCTTACGAGATACGGTCGGTCTAATAATGATCTACCCATTATCGAACTACCCGTTGAGCCACAAAATACCATTGAACTGCCCGTTGAGGCACAAAATACCATTGAACTGCCCATTGAGGCACAAAATACTATTGAACTGCCCGTTGAGGCACAAAATACTATTGAACTGCCCGTTGAGGCACAAAATACTATTGAACTGCCCGTTGAGGCACAAAATACTATTGAACTGCCCGTTGAGGCACAAAATACCATTGAACTGCCCGTTGAGGCACAAAATACCATTGAACTTCCCGTTGAGGCACAAAATACTATTGAACTGCCCGTTGAGGCACAAAATACTATTGAACTGCCCGTTGAGGCACAAAATACCATTGAACTGCCCGTTGAGGCACAAAATACCATTGAACTTCCCGTTGAGGCACAAAATACTATTGAACTGCCCGTTGAGGCACAAAATACCATTGAACTGCCCATTGAGGCACAAAATACTATTGAACTGCCCGTTGAGGCACAAAATACCATTGAACTGCCCGTTGAGGCACAAAATACTATTGAACTGCCTGTTGAGGCACAAAATACCATTGAACTGCCCATTGAGGCACAAAATACCATTGAACTGCCCGTTGAGGCACAAAATACCATTTAACTACCTGTGCAGTCATCACCTATGATGGTGACAACTAGTGATCTGCCCATTGTGGCAGAGCCCATTGAGGCACAAATCATCGACAATTTACCTACAGTATCTCTGTAGAGCCTAATGAGGCAGAAATGGAAAACCAACTTTGGTTAATAAAATATGGAAAAGAGCTTCAAGGTCTTGTTATAACTGACCGAGAAATTGAATCTCACTACTATGATATTCATACAGGTCTTACGAATATTTTTTTGAATGAGAGTTATGCTATTTTAATATTAGAGGGTTATATGTGGCCCTGATAAATGAAATACATTCTTTCTATTTATTTGATTCACATGCCAGTGACTTTAGCGGCATGCCCAACCCTAATGGCACGGCTGTTGTCATGAAATTTACTAATATTATTGGTTTAGAGCAATATCTGTGTTCTGTTTCACTGAAACTACATACAAATTTATTTGAAATTGTTCCTGTGCAATTTAATAAATGTGTAGCTTCCAACAAAAAATGAAAGCAGTGTGAGGAAACTGACATTGACAGACAAGCTAGACTTCAAAAAGCTAGTGAGACTAAAAAAAGAAAGCGTTTAGAAGAAACTAACAGTGAACGACAAATTAGACTTCAAAAGGATAGTGAGTCTAAAAAAAGAAAGCGGTCAGAGGAAACTGACAGCAACAGACAAATGAGGCTTCAGAAAGATAGACTTAATAAAAAACAAAAGCGGGCAAAAAAAGTATCACAGCCTGAACATGAAATAAATCAACAGGATTATTTAAATATGTTTGACAACACCGATAATGGTGGCATTGAAGAGCAATGTTGGGCTAAGGCTAACATTAATAAGTTTAAGTGCACAGTATGTCAGGAGGCATGGCCCTTGAAGTCTAAACCAAGGACACCTTACACATGTTCACGATGCTCTAGAGATAAGAAATCTCCTAAAAAGTTTTCTTGTGAAAATTGAATGATACCTTCATGTGTCCCACATGAATTGCAGAGTTTAACTCAGATTGAGGAAATGTTAATTGCTCGTGCTTTGCCTATCATGAGAGTTTATATTAAACCTGGTGGTCAACGAGGTTATTCGGGGCATTGTATTAACTTATTACCTGCCACAGAATGTCAAAGAACTTGCAATGTCTTTGCCAAGATATCCTAAAGACTTAGCTGTGATTATTGTCAAGGCTAAAGGTAGAGAAAACACATTCAGAGATGTGACAGTGCGAAAGCAAAAAGTGCATGATGCTTTAGTTTGGCTTATCAATAACAATCCACATTATTCTCAGTTATTAATTAATGAAGATGCATTAAATTCATTACCTGAAAATGGTGTACCACCAGGTCTTATGACTGTTGAGACTGATGATGATATAGTCCCAGATGACAATTGTTCTCCTGATGTAGGTCCCCCTACTGATAATCCATCAAACGATATTGTTTATAATGACTCTACCGAAATGAGCAATTTTTTACCTGTTGGCGAACAACAACAACAGGAAATTGAAGCTGTTAGAAATCAGCTGTCTGAAAATAAGCCAATACCATGGCCCTCAGTTGATAATGAGCCATTAAATGAGTATCAGATATCACATCTTGCCACAATGGCTTTCCCAACATTATTTCCAGATGGGAAAGGTGATCCTACTAATCAAGGACTTCTGAGAGATGTCCCTCTTCAGGGACGGATAAAGCATCTTCTAAAATTTGCTGCAATTATTGATGGTAAATGGGTATACCGTTTTGCTAAACACCCAGATTTTCATATTGGGCTTTTAATATGATTCAAAGAAAACACATTTTACAACAAAGTGGAATATTCCTCAAACAGAACCCAGGTGAAGCTCATCTCACAATTGATGAACTGCGTGAAATGGCTGCCAGTAACAATACAAATGTATTTATGTCTAAAGTGTCGAGATATGTTGGCAACATTTCAGGTATAATGCTTACTGGAATAGAGTAAGAGAGGAACTCAAAGCTATCATTACTAGTGTTGGAGCACCAACATTATTTTTCACTTTCTCCTCTGCAGATATGCATTGGCCTGAGTTACATGCTTTATTTAATGCTGATACTGACAATGAGTTAGGGAACTCTACCAGTGAGGCAAGACGACAAAACAACAATCCCCATGTTGTAGATTGGTTTTTCACACAAAGATTAGAAAGCTTTGTAAACACTGGCTTTATGATACACTTGGTGCAAAATGGCACTGGTTTCGATATGAATATCAAGGTAGAGGTAATATCCATTGTCATGGTACTGGTAAACTAAATAATGACCCAGGTTTGTGCCAACTTACTCAGACTGCTTTGAAAGGTTTCTTAGCTCAAAAATTTAAAGATGAAAATGATTGTTCTGACACAACTGAACTAGACCAGGATATTGAAGCTGGTCAGAAAGCAGCTGACACAGCATGTCAGTATGTTGATTGGTTATTATCAACTGTCAATCCTAATCCACCAGATGAAGACATGTGGATAAGACCTGAGGTTCATCCATGTCAAAGAAGTCATGACATTCCTAAACATGAAAAACAATTAGATTATGTAGATCTATTAAACATGGTTCAACGACACACTCGTTGTAGTACAAGTTATTGTCTTAGAAAGAACTCAAATGAAACAGAGTTGAAATGTAGATTTCATTCCCCTTTTGATATTTGTCCTAAGACAAAATTAGAATTTGAAAAAATTCACACTTCAGGTGATAATGAGCATTATCGAGCTAAAATTGTGACTAAACGAAATGACTCCTAGGTTAAATAACCATCAACAACTTCAGCTCCAAGGATGGAGAGCTAACTGTGATATTCAAGTTGTAATTGATCACTATGCTTGTGTTGAATATCTCACAAAATATGCAGCTAAAGGTGAGCCAAGATCACCTATACTGAAACAGGCATTCAATTCTATTGTGCAAAATGTTGACAGTAATACTGACCCTCGTAGAGTTATTAAGAAAGTAGTTATGAAATCTCTTGGTGAAAGAGATTATGCAGCCCAAGAGACAATGCATCATTTGTTATCTTTAAAACTCCACAGCTCATTCTTTAAAGTGATGCCAGTTAGTCTAAATGGTTCACGTAGAGTGCGTGATACTGCAAGTATTGACGAGGGTGAATCTTGCACCGATTATTCACTTCTTGATGCGTACGCTAATCGTGAACAATACGAGAATTCACCAAATATAATAAATATGGACTTTTTCAATTTGCTACAACATACAAACTTGTTAACGATGAACTGACAAAATTGCCAGAAAATATTATACCACGAATATTTCCAACATATTCCCCCAATCCCAAAGGTCCAAATTTTTGCCTATATTGTAAATATCAACTTTTGAGGTATAAACCGTGGAGAACAACCCAAAACAATGCATGGGGTGACCAAGAACCAACTGACGAGGTTCTGATAAATTGTTGGCATGAATTTTTGCAAACACCTTATGGGCAATCTAGGCTGGGATTACACTATACCGGATTGATTTTCATACCGGATCAATTTTCACACCGAAGCCAAAATCAAGGGTGTTTACACTATGCCGCTTCGCTCTGTCGCCAGCTCGTATCTTTTATCGTTGCCACGGAAACAAATAATAAGTTTTGACCATTTTGGACGTTTTCTCGACAGTACTTGTGAATTATAACTTTGTTTACAAAGCTTGACCACCCGACGTTGCTTTGTCTCGCTCTTATCGAAAATTGACGAGTATTTCATTAAATTTTGCCCTTTTGAAAGCAAGAAGTCAATGTTATTACCGCTATCTTTATTTGTCTTCGCTAGAAATAATAAATAATTGTAAAGCGAAGCAAATAACAGCTATAAAATATTTAAAAGCGAGTAAATAAAACGACAATGTTAAAATATACTTGCCGAAACCTATTTATAGTACCGGAGCGTACCGGATTGCCTGATTACACTTGGTTTTATCCGGTACAGCACGTACCGGATTACTTTTCATATCACCTCCAAAGCGAAGTGATTTTCGCGCCGCGGCACGTACCGGATTACAGTGGCGTAGTGTAAACAAGAGGCCAATCCGGTACAGAAATCGCGTCGCTTCGATGCAATCCGGTATAGTGTAATCGGGGCCCTAATGTCCCAGACTGGTTCGATAAATCACAAGCTGTTATGCAAACTCAAGAATCAGAAGATGAACCCTCTGAAGAACAGGAGACAACTCAAGAAGAGTGGATGATATTATCAGACCTCAATACTCCTTTTGACAACTCTGAACCAACACCAGAGTCCACATATGACTGGCATCTTGACAGAGCCAATTATTCAGAACAACAAATCCAAGAAATGTTGTTGTTGTTGACATCAACAGTTTTAGTGAAATGCAAAAACTTGCTTATAATATTGTTAAGTCTCATTTTGATGATATATCATCCGAGATGGAGCCATTATGTCTCATTATAAATGGTGCTGCAGGAACTGGTAAAAGTTACCTTATTAATGCTATTAGAAATCTTTTGCAAAGTAAATGTGCTATTGCAAATTTCAAAAACAAAAAGTATTAAGAATTTTCCTCTTTATATCACGCTTTTTTTGTTGCTCTCTTTGGACGAATTTCACCCTGAAATCGCAGGAAATGGCCATTCCAGACTTCGAAAATCAAAATTTTCCCGGGGGTGCATACCCGAAACCCCCCCCCCTAGCCTGTGCAACTCTTAAAGCATGACTAGTCAAATACCCTCAGCTTCGCCACTGAAAAAAAGGAAAATATATAACTGTAAAGATTGTTTGATTACTACATCATGGTTTGTGTTTGGGTAACAGCAGGTTTGTGAAACAGTCATATTACAGACCGAATTATCATACAGGCACAATATATCTATTACTGATGGAGGCTGAGCTTCGACCCACAATGGCATTCTAACGATAAATGTCGTGTCTTAAATAATACATTTTTAACCAAGCTAGTTGGGAAGTTTGCTTTGAATTTTGGTTTAATGACATTGTTAACCTATGGTTAAGCTTATAAGCTAAACAGCTTTCGAACAACCAGTCAACAACCAACACGCGTGTTTGGGGATCAAGCCCCATGTGTTTATGCCTCGCGATAGTCTCGTAAATAATTACAGTATTACCAAAATTGCCAAAGTAAAAAATTTTGTTCATATCACGTGACCAAATTGTTCAATCATTTTGATCACATGACTTGTGTTCACTGTTTTCATGACCTGTCTCCGGTTTATTTTGGTTTTCAAATCAAGGAGTTACTTGAAAAACGAAAGGAACATTGCAAGCATTCGCATTTGAGTACCCGGGGGCGGATTTAAATCGAACAAATTCAAAAAAAGTAGTTGATGAACAACATGGCGGCTGGTTTCGTACTACTGTAAGATAAGAAACACTTTGAACTGGCTTCAAAATGCGTTTGCCATTCATGAACATTATTGGCTCATACAAGATGAGAACTCCAAGGCTCAAGAACATTTGGTGAAAGTTTCGAAACATTTTAGAACATTTTTTTATTGTTTATTGACTTTATTCACACTCCCCTAAAGGGGCTTTTCACAGTGGCGGAAACTTTGCGGAATTTTAGGGGGGGGGGCGAATGCCGAAGGCACGAGATTTGTAGGGGGGTCTTTTAAAATTTCGATCCCTGAAATGGCATTTGCAGCATTCTGAGAGCACATTTTGTAAGAAATTCCAGGTTTTCAAAACATTACTGTCGTTCCAATTGAAGTGTTCCTCAAATATTGATTCAATACATTACCTCGGGCTGACCAATTCATTTCATTAAGTTCCTCGAGATATTCATACACTTCCTGTGAAAGAGCCAATTCCAAGTATTTGATCATTTCTGGCCACTTCCTTTCTATTTATGATTGGTTAGTTGCACAAACAACAAAGGTGATTGGTGCATTCAAACTATTCAACAGGAAGTTTACAATTATACTAGGAAGTGTATGAATATCTAGAGGAACTTGATCAAATGAATTGGTCAGCCCGAGGTAATGTATTGAATCAATATTTGAGGAACACTTCAATTGGAACGACAGTAAGTTAATGGTGCATTCTGGTATAAATCATGTGCTAAGCATAAAAAAACGACGTTTCAGAGGAAATATTTTAGATGATTTCAAAAATACATTTGTGAATGGAATTGCAAGGTGGTTTAATTAATAACCAATGACAATGTAAAATTTATTCGCTAAGTGCGTGACCTTGGAAACGTTAAATCAAAATCCACTGTATCAAAATTTGATCAGTCTATGCACAATTCTATTGTTGATTATTGAACAGTCCTATTACCTTATATGGTGATAATGAGATTGTTATTGCACAAACGACACCATATAGAAGCGTTATCATGCAACTGTTGCAACGAACGCGGTAACCTGAACTTGCAGTACGTAATAAATATTTAAACCAGAGAAGTGAAAAAACACCTGAAAATTCCTACCTATAGATATACTGTAATTGCTATTGTTTTATGAACACTCGGAAGATACTCTATATTATATATGCATGTATATCATAAATTTAGAGCCTATATACTGACGTAACTGGACACGATTAAGGTTACATCATATGATAGATTCCTGTTTCAGAAAAATTGTCACTGCAGTGTGTGCTGAATTTTTAGTTACGTTCCTCAAATCTGGTACGTGCAATGACAACTAACTGTAGAAGCTACTGTTAGTAGCCAAAATTCACCACCTTTTAACCTGTAGCCGCAAAACTAATTTAATTAGACATTTTTCAGAATTCATAACGCTCATTGTGTGACTTGTCAGATTATAAATTTAGAATACTTTAGCTTGTTTTTATTTAAACTTGCCGTTGCTGTTGTTATTGTAACAAATAGTGCTTCCTTATATTGTGCTTTCAGTTTTCAAAATGAAATCTAGCTAAATATAATTTTAGTAAATTGTTTTGGGCGCCCTAGTTTCCGCCACTGGCTTTTTAGTGACAAAAATAAATATACATATCAATTAATTACTATAATTATACATTAGATCCTAAAAAAATTGTTAGTTATGTAAGTATATAGATCAGTGGTGTTACAAATAGGATGCGACGTCATAGGGGACAACTCTGGGAAGAAGGCGTGGCCATTTTATTATTGTGAATTGTGAGCGGGAAAGAAAACAAACCAATTTGTATTTTCCAATTTATTCTTTTTACATTACTATACCAGTGAAGTGACGTAGTGAATTCAAAGGGGGCTTTTTGAGGTTACTTCACATGATGAACGTGCGTTTTAGTCCATTGAACATGGCGCAACGAATTTTAGGTGTAACTTTACCTAATTTTTAGTGAAGAAAGCCAAGAAAATGCTGATTTCGAAAATCTCCATTTGATTGGTATTCTGTTTAAACCAGGCCTTAAAATATCTTTTCCAGGGCCGTCTGACAAAATGTCCGGTGACGTTGAGTTTGGGTCGGACATAATGTCCGATGACCTTCAGTTCAGTTTTGACTCGGAAATAAGTCTGAATGACACAAATGAATAAACGGTAAATGTTGTAAAGATATTAAATAATTTGTTTCTTTCATACTTATTTCCAAGCCAAAATTAACTTGCTTGCCAGAACAGCAGTATTAAAAAAGACTTCGACAGCTTAAGACCGTTTTCCACTTCACCATTTCGCTCGCCGCCCCGCGCTCGTCTACGTTAAAACAACATTTGCAGTTCACCTTTTATACAATAGTACTCTGATTTTCCATTTAACATACAAGCCTCTAATCCTGGGCTAGGTACGTACATTTTTATTTACGTTGGACAAAGCTACAGTTCGGTCGGACACCAATACACTCGGGTCGGACAAACAATAAACTTCAGTTTCATTTTAGTCGGACAGAATGTCCGGTGGTTTCCTCTTTACGTCGGACAATTTTACGAATGGGTCGGACAATGTCCGTGACCGACCAATATTTTAAGGCCTGTTAAACATGTCCAGTATTGGCTGACTAAAGGTATCCCATAAAAAAATTAAAATATGTTATAATTTACCTGAACGTTTGTCTATACATCTCGATTTGAATCTTCATATGTACGGTAAGTTTTTTGGGTTTTTTAGTGTGCGGAAAATTTCTCTTCTTCAATGGTTTTTCTGATATGACGTTTTCTTTGACAACTTCGAATTCGTGAATTATCAGTGACAAATCCAGTAATAAAGACGAGAAATTTTCCGCACACCTTTTTTTTACCGTGCCTATGAAGATTCAAATTGCGATATCTAGACAAACGTTGAGGTAAACTACAAACATATTTTGATTTTTTTTAAGA